CACACGTTACTAGAGGCAACCAGTGATGACGTTTCATATTTTTCCCTGGGATATTGTTGATGACGTCATTACTGAATTGAACGGGTACACGAGGAATAAATATGTTATGACGTAATAGTGTAATATATTTGGTAGAAATTACGTCACATCATTCATACGCTGAACGATGGAGGCGGTGGACGTGCTGAGCCCAAACAAGCGATTTGCTACAATATCTGATGATGAAGTTGAATTAAAAAGACAAAAGATGACACCAATAGGGACAAAAAGAGCTAATGAGAAGGCTGCAAGAATTCTTAATGAGTATTTGAAGGAAACTGCGTATGAGCGTGGTGAACATTTTGTGAACTTTCCGAAGGAAGAATTAGACAAGATTCTTGCAAGATTCTATCTAGCTGCGCGCAAAAAGGATGGTTCAATGTACAGGATTGCAACACTTGAGAATTTCCGTCATTCTTTGAATAGATATCTACAGGAAAACTATGGACATCCTATTGACATTATGAAAGACGAAACCTTCAAATCGTCGAATAAATCATTTATCACTGCCAAAAAGGAGCTCAAACAAAACGGACAAGGATTCGTCGAACATTACCCTGAGATAGGTAAAGAGGACTTGGACAAGCTCTACAGTTCCATGTACATGGATGTCAATACCCCCGTGGGTTTGTTCAACAAGGTGAGTAAACGTAAAGTCAAATAGGCCCTAAGTTAGGTCACTATCATTCTTTGTGTGTATCGTCAAAAATAAGTGGATTTACATTAATGATAGGCCTACATTGTGTAGGATCATTCGTATCATTCATTATATTGTTGAATTTGTAATCATCATATGATGATCATTTCTATCATCATTTCATAATCTTATTCAATTGTAGGTTCAATTTGACATCAGATTGTACAACGCACGACGTGGAGCCGAAAACATGGAAAGCATGACCAAGACAACGTTCGTCATTAAGAATGACAATAAAACAGGTCTAAGATACGTGATTAAAGGCAGTGACGAGAGGACTAAAAATCACCAAGGGGAGAAAGAAGAGATAACTACTGGAATTATGCCAGAGTGTCCAGGTAAATTTATAGTAATTATAATCAAAAAAGAAATTAAAACATTTTTTTTCTTAACCGTTTTTCTCTTCTATTAAATTATATTGACCATTGTATTTTGCAGGAAATCCCCTTTGTCCAGTCGCATCGTACGAAAAATATCTCTCCAAATTGAGCCCAAAGTTGGATCGATTGTGGCAGTACAGTAAGGGATCCTTCCTAGATGACGAAGAGACATGGTACCTGGCTAAACCCGTGGGTGTAAATGCATTGAAGACGTTTATGCAGACTGTTAGTAAGAAGGCTGGTCTCTCTACGGTATATACAAACCACTGCATCCGTGTCACAGCACCTACTATTCTAAATAGACAGAATTTCTCTCTGGCTCAAATACAGTCAATTACAGGTACATGTAGGCTATTTTTATTTATTTAATCAACGTACACTTTGCTTTTAGGTTGAATGAAAATACCTAGGAAACAAGAACTGAAAATTGTCACTCTAATTTGTTTCCCATGTATGCTTTCAGGCCATAGGAGTATGCAAAGCCTGTTGTCCTATCAGCGTGTCTCAATGAATGAGAAAATAACAATGGGAAAAGCTATCTGCAGTGCTGTAACTACTGAAGGAAACGATGAAAAACTGATGAAGAACAATGATAAACTAAAGCTAAACAACGCAGAAAGAAGCGACGTTGGTATAGTGCTGAAGAATGTAACAAACACTAACATTCCGATCGAACGCGCCGTTCAATTTCAGCCCCAGATATCTAACTGCTCTGTCCAGATAAATTATTACATAGGAAAGGACTGATGATATGTTCAGATAAAATGTTACTTAGGAACGGACTGATTTGAACATCGAAGACCCTTATTTTGATCTTTTATGCTGTTAACATTAGAAAAGAATAAAAAGGAATAAATTAAATATTTAATTTAAACGTTACGTTTTTGGCTGGTTTTTATGTAATAAGTAGCCACGTACTCCTAATGAAATTACTGGAATTGTACAATGTCTGTGATAAAATTGTTATCACACGTTTCATCTTCTTTTTCATGTAATGAGAAGTAGCCACGTACCTATTGCCCAATCAAATTACTGGAATTTCACAGAGTATGTGATAAAATCGTCATCACACGTTTCAGCTTGTGTGATACGGGAAATCTTCCACTCAAGTAAAAATGTATCACCACTCAAGCTTCGCTTTCGTGGTGATACAATTTTACTTTCGTGGAAGATTTCCCGTATCACACGCTGAAACGTGTGATAACTGATAGTATGGCACAGCTGTCTAATGACACTTTTGGTAGAAGGTAGCCATTTTGAAAATTGGCTGTCATTTTTGCTGTATACTTTGTTTGTAAAAATGCCAGCCATGGCTATTTGATGGGATTTGCTACGCTTTGGCGTTGCTGTTGTCTAGTTATGTTTGAATTTGAATTTCTTTTGTTCAAGAGGTGTGCAATCTATGACAAAAATAGACAGACATTTTCATGTGGTCTAATATGGAAACTGGGACTCCTTAATTTTTTCATTAATATCTTGAAATCATTGTATGATTTTATATTTAAATGTTTCAGAACATTTTTTTATAAGTCTTTTGTAATAGGTCTAATACAATACTAAAAATGGTTTTCTAGCTGCATGGTGGTAAAATGATTCATGAAAAGGTATTTAAAGTAGAATGCTGTCTACTTTTTGACCAAATCATTCTATGATGTAGAAGATCACTTATACAAAACTGCACTGTTTACTTGAGGGTGATATGCTAGATACAAGTGGTACAAGTCATAGGGAACTATTTCCATTTTAGATTTTCCGTCCTCAAATTGTGTCGGTAAAGTCTTGTCTATACTCATTTTTAGGATAACCATTTGATGGGATCACCCATAGGTGGGGACATTTTGTACACATTTGTGTTCTTGTCTAATGATCTAATTATGTTATATATTCGTATTTTTCGTTTTTTGGGTACCCAGTTTTTTTGACCGGGTTCCAAGTTTGAACCCAGCATGGAGGATTTACTACCTAGTACCCGTTTTTTTCTACAAACCCAGCCAGAGGTCAAAGAAACAAATTCAGGTTATAGGTAAAACAGCCCTAATTCATGTCACCATACTAGTCAATGGGTAAAAGGGCAAACGCCTGACATTTATCTCGAGTTATGGATTTATGTGGCCCCACTGGCCTATCTGAGGTTCTAAAGCTATGTTTGTTTTTAACCCAAATAAACGCATTTTCAGAAGAAATTGGATGTTGTCATTGCAAAAAGATGACAACTGTACCTACATACTAGCTTACTGACTCGTCATGATCACAATTGAGTTGAGTTTTGACTCTGGCCTAGAGAATTGGGACTTTTGAGATAGTTTTAGCTTGAATTTAGTCTTTCAGAGTGGACAAATACATCAATACTTTTTGAAATAATTGGTCAATTGTGACACTACCCCCTCTCCCTGAAATTGAAATTCACAAAAATGAAGGCAAAATTAATACGCCACTTAACTCGAAATTTTCCTTCAGATAACCCAAATAAACGCATTTTCAGAAGAAATGGCATGTTATCATTGCAAAAAGATGACAACTGTGCCTACATACTAGCTTACTGACTTGTCATGATCACAATTGTGTTTGGACTACATTCATTTTTTAAAACTACTTTTTTCTATTTTGCGGAAGTGACGTATTAGGGCAGTTTGGCCATAATGCTCAATTTTATTAGAGTTAAATTGAAATTAAGGGGTTTGTCATTCTAAATCATGGACCTTATTTTCACTTTTATTTCTAAGAATTCATATAGCTATTTAATGTTCAACCAATAATCATCTTCAGAATAAAAATTTAATTTACATCTAATTTTCACCCTCATACATTTTTATCTTAATTTTCATCTAAAAATCATGAATAATGTTAATTGAAATTAATTCACAATGAATGGCAATTGACAATCATGCCACATCTTTTATTGATTTAATAAACTCTTAATTTAAATTCTAGTTTTCATTAGAATCATTGATAATTAGGTGTAAATTAGATGAAAATTAGTTTTTATCTTTTAGTCGGGGTATTTTAAATATAATCATCTCAATTTCTCCTTAATAAGCTTTACACTAATGTCTTATTATATATCTTCTTCTTGGAACATCTAAAATAAGTTAATTTAATGATTGCTGTAGTGCCTTAAACAGACTTAAGCAAGTTGCAGTTATTGACTCCACTCTTTTTAGATGAAATTTTTGATAAATTCAAAAATCAGGGAACACGCAATCTGCGTGATAGATCTGACTTTTCAAAGCCCAACTTTATGCTCACAACTTTACTTATGTTGAGAATCCAAACTGTAAATGTGGAGCCTCCCAGACAGAAAAACACTTCTTCTTTCAGTGTCCCCTTATTAAAGAAAAGATAACAAAATTAAAAACTGATATTATTAATATAACTGGACTATCAGATAATCATTTAACTCAGAATGATCTCCTTTACTTAATGAAACATGGCTCTGACAATATTTCCCTTGATCTAAATTCACATCTCCAAACTTCAATCGCTGAATTCATTGAAATGAACCTATAACGTTTTCCCCTCCCTACATACTATATATACTATACTTTATTTTATATTATCCACACTTAATATTTCCACCCCATGGCCAACCACAAGTGCAGAGTGAACCCCTTGACCTAATCATAACTTTGTATTTTGTGCTATTAATGTACCCTTCTATAATGCCTCCGGGCGACTTAAGGGATTTATATTATGATATTTTTATGAAGCAATAAATATTTCTTAATAAAAAATAAATAAAAAAAAAATTGACTGGAGGCAACATGATTATTCAAGACCATCATTGTGTCAATAATGTGACTCCATGACTATTTAATGCACCACTACCAGATACTATATCAGATCATTATTTAACAATTTCATCAAGTGTCTTTGTACATTTTCAGAGGGAAAAAAGAGAAAAAGCCTCCAAGCTCCAAGGCTGCACATCCTGGGTCTCAGGTATTAAACTTACGTAACCAACCAAGCATCCCTAATAAGCATAATAATAACCACAGCAACAGTCGCCATAGCAACCATAGTAACAACAGCAGTAACAAACATCCAGAAAAAGGAGAACAGCAGAGTTCATTCCCAAAAGGAGGAATATGGGTGAACAATCCAACAATTATGCAAAGCTCAGGGTTTCACTCCAATGGTCCCATGGCGCCATCCAAGACTCAAATGTTAGACCCAGCTGTATACATGAACCAAATAGGTAATCAAATAGTATATCAATATAGGAGAAATTCACCAGTAATGAATAATAAAATATGTTTTTTATATATATAATGAAGTTCATGTGCTACAGTAAAACCTGTCTTGGGAACCCCTTTCCTGAAGGGAACAACTCTGACAGTTTTCGAAAGAAGCAAATATTTTTCCATTGACATACATTGTTGATGGACCCTCTCTGTAAGGAACACCCGTCTACTGGGAACATGGAACCATCTTTAAGGGCAAATTTTGTTTTGCCTTGCCTGTTTCATGCTTATCTACTGTATGCCCATACCTTTAGAATCAATCATACTTTCTATTACATAAAGTGAAAACTGAAACTTTATTATGTCATTCATTTTATACACATGTACTTTGCCAAATAAAATTGAAACATTACCTCCGTTAACATGAGAGAGTAATGTATAGTTTATTTAATTATAGTTATTATTGGCAGTGAATTCATACCTTATCTAAACATAAATATTATCTAATACTGCCAAATATCTGGTATTTGAACTACAATGTTCACATGGAATATGCTGGCCACATGCACATAGTTAAATCTGATAGTATAGTTTGTAAGAAAGTAAGAAATTACTTCTAGGGAAGTCTCAAAAAGTTCAATAAAATAAGCAATAGTAAAGCAATTTAGTATAGCTCTGATCTCATCTATTGAAATTTGATGAGTGTTGAAGTGTCAAATAGGGTTGAGTGAAGTTGCTTGGAATATTTTTGATGCAGAAATTCAATTTGATAAAAATGAAAGTGGTACCTAACACCATCCCCAAATAATATATAATATAGTTTTTGATTTATATATTGATCTTTTGACAGCTACAATTTTGTGGTTGCCATTTTTGTTCAATGCTGTGCTTTTCATATTTCAGCTATTGGAAAACCATCTAACTTTCCTGTTGGTACTTCTTCTAACATTGTGCTGTCAAACACACCAGGGACCTTTACAACCCCTACTCTACTAACAGTGCCTAACCCAAGGAGCCCTGTTCCCTTGACAACTTACCCTAAGGACCCCTTAATCTCAACATCTTACTCTAAAGTGGATGAGAATGATAATCCCAAGCAGCAAAACGATAAACCCAAACAAAACGACAGGCCCAAGAAACAGGATGATGATAATGATGTACATATTTTTAAACCCAGCCCAAAGGTTCCCTCGGTTTCTTTAACAGAAGCTCTTATCCCATTAGAGCCTGAATACCTTGTCACCACTAGCTCCCCACACATGCTAAAGAGGTCTTTTTTATCAGTGGAATCCCAATGTTCATCTGGGGAGTCTGAACCCATTCCACCTATAACAAATGAGCTGGTATTTCATACTGATGATGGTGCTGAAGTAGAAACTGACATTAACACTGATGATAACCAAACTTATGGCACTGGTACTGATTACAGAACTCTGCTAGATGTTAACCAGACCTTGTCTCAATCTGCTCTACAGCTTGGTGGCACCTTTTCTGATTTTAACATTGGTATAGTTGCTATATCTAATATTTTCTTAATATAAAATGATTGCACTGGTTTATGTTGTGTTGGATCTACAAGTAGGCAAATTGCATTTTTAACATTGCTTGCAGTAAATTTGGTCTTATGTATGTTGCATGGGGTATAAAATTTACATAGTTATACATTGAACTTCTTTGACATATTCCATCATGAAATATATGAATGAATTGATACCTTTTATAATTATTCATAATCTTTAATTTCAGAAAAGGGGAGGAAATATGCCAATGGTTATGCTGTAAAGACAAGCATTCCTGAGGGCTTGAATCATCAGCCTAATGGTCATGTCAATAGAGGCTTTGTCAGTGAGAACAACATAAATCAAGCAAACTACCTCAGAAAACCTACAGATCGTGTACAACGTAGTGCTAGTGAAGTGCGAGCAAGTAAACAAAGCTTAGAGAAGAAAGAAAAACGTAACCGAAATTCACATGACTCAGACAGAGATAACTTTATTTTGAAAAGAGCCCCAAGTTATGAAACAGGTATGGATACTCCAAGAAGGAGCATACAGAGTGATCCAACACCAGGCATAAGGAGAACACAAAGTCAGATAACACAAGACCATAGGTTTTTCCCCTGGTATAAAAAAGATGATAAAAATAAAGGGCTCCAGGGATACAATGGTTTCAAGCCTACTCGCGGTGATAAAGATAATAGTAGAAATGTAGATAGGGTGCGAAGCTTTTATGAGCGCCCTCTATCTACCTCAGAGGTACCATATCCTGGAAAACCAGTCAGACGAAGCCAAAGCCAGCAAATAAATCACCAACGTAAAATGGCAGCAGCACAACCTGTCTTGAAACATTACAAAGTGAACAATGATGACTTATATGCTGTCCCAAGCAAAGTTAAAGCTCAGAATAGAATTTCCCAAAGCCAACAGGAGGTTATACCTGAGACAGGTGAGTCTGTTGCTGTTGTACAAGTGAACAATCCTCCTGTTAAGCCCCCTATCAAAGAAGAGCCTGTAATAGAGGCTACTGTACACCGTACATCACCCATCATACACAAGTCCATTTCACAGACCTCAAAGACAGCTACATCTGACTATCAAGAACCTTCTGGGGGAGACTACTACTTCAGTTTGGATGGTGAAAAACCCTTGGAGACTAAATCTATCAACTTAGAAATTGAAGGTAAGAAATCATTTGATTACTCTTGGGTAATATATGTAGCTAGGGGGCAGAGTAGTTCAAACATTCAACAGTTTTTAAATATATACAGCCTAAATAAACCGGACATATAAAATGAAAATGGTGATATTGAGACACTTTTTCATGATTTTACTTCTGAACAATATTGATAGAAATTACCTTTTGCAAAAATTGCACCAAAGATGTTACCATTCTTTTAAATTTGGACTGTCAACTGGTATTCAAGTCATTACCGAGACAGAAGTACAGAATTAATGGACTGATGGCTCCTCTTTATGACTCATACAGGACACCATAAAATTTCCTATCATGAAGAGGTCCAGATGACAATAACCATCGACATGGTACAGTGACAAAATATACCGTAGTACACTTTAGATGTATGATGTCACTTTTTAACTGATTTGAAGCAAAGACAATGATGCGGATGAGATGTTCAAACAGTGCTTGATTTCTACCCACAAAAATTGATTGGTTGGAAAATGTTGTGTTTTCACATTTCCTATGATCACTTTTTCCCCTGCCTAAGATTGTCGATTATTTTTATGAGAATATGTTTCTCTATACTACACAATTTAGGACAGGTGGAGATTAATAAATATTCAAGTATTTATTGTAATTTAAAAAAATCAGAAATGTGCGTTGTCAACTCAAATTATGTAATGATTTCATTTCAAAATTTGTTGAGGTTTTTATGAGTAACAAGTGATCTTTAGCGCACATGTTCAAGTATCCTTTTTGCTTTTTCATTTTATGAAAGTATTGTTGTGGTGGTGGTTAATTTGTGCCTATTTGGTGTTAGCTTCAAGCCCATACTCCCGTCCAGTGTCTCGGAATAGAATATGTTGAAGACTAGTACTGCCACGGAGTCTCCTTCCAGCCTGTTTGATTATTTGGCATCTGTACCTTACGTTTTATTAGTTACATTGATAGATAGATCTAGTGATCTATACTAGCTTATTGAATATGACTTTTTAAATTCCTGTTTATGATATACCTGGAAAGTTTCAAATTGAAGTAATTCTGTAATTGTTCTGTGTCAATTTTAAATGCATCTAACCCTCCTGTCTGTTAGTGTTATGAAAAATACGTTTTCTGCATTAGGGTTAACTGTGAATTGAGTAAGTTCAATGGGACAAAGTACATTCGAGTTTACTACGTTCACTTATGATTTTTTATTTAAATTATTGCCAAAATGTTAATACTTATTAAATCTTCAACAGAGCTTAATTGTGCTGTTTAAAGAAACATATTCTCATAAAAATCTTCGACACTCTTAGACGACAGGGGAAGAAATGATCAAAGGAAATGTGTAAAAACACATTTTCCAACCGACCAATTATATTGCTAGATTGACTACAAAAAAAAATCGAGCACCGTTCGAAAATCTTTTAACATTTATTAAAAAGTTAAATGTCTTCCTAAACTAATATACAAAAAATCAAACATGAAATCCTTAATGCATTCCTCAGATTTTTTTAAAACCTACATCAAACCTACATCATTGTCTTTGCTTCAAATTGGTTAAATAGTGACATCGTACATCTAAAGTGTACTATGGTATATTTTGTCACTGTACCTTGTCGTTGGTTAGGCGTGAAGGTATCAGCCTCTAAAATTTAGATTAAATTGATAATTGGTATTTGAGTTATTGTAAATTATAAACTTCTGAAAAAATGCAGTCAATCCATTTTGATTTAGCAACCAAATTCCATGCCCATAAGGTATCGGAGAATTTGAACAAAATCTGTCAACCAGTATTTGAGTTATTTCCCGGACAGATGTACAGACGAATGTATTGATGAAGAGATGGACAGAAACCTCTCTAAATCCCAAAATATATGCAAATAAATATTACTATTGCTATAATGATGTCTTTATTACTGTGTTTGCAGGTAGCAAGATTGCAAGTGATGCTTTCAGGTTTTTGGACAGTGAAGACTCTACCTCTGTTGACTTTAACTGAATAGGTAGGTCAATCACATACTTTGATGCTACAATCATATGATTTTATAACACATAGGGCTCTATGGGGAATCTACCCGACCTAGGTATGAATCGGGGAAGTTTTTTCAAGTACTTCGCTTATGTTTTTCATCCAAAAAACAATACACTTTAAAACATTTTATTGACTAACATTGCACCATATAATCCCTAAAAATGTTTCTCATTTTCAAGGATTATCTATGGATTAACTAACAGCCAGGTATTTTCATTTTTCAAATGGACCAGTGGACCATTGATCTTATTCACTTTTGAATAATATAAATGCTGTTTTAAATAGATTTGGGGTTGCGATATAAACCAAAACAACCCAAAAAGGCGTGTAGCCGTGTATTAAATGAAAGATTTACTTTCCTGTTATCTTAAAATATGCTTGGAACTGTACCATTGGATTTCTATGGGAAATTCCTCAAAGAGAAAATTCTAGGGATTGAGGAATGTGTACCATTTACACAATTTTGAGAAATTATTGGCATACATGAAACCTATTTAAAACAACATTTGTATTATTCAAAAGCGAATGATCAATGATTTCCAGTCGTCCTAAAATGAAAATACCTGGATGTTAATCCATAGATAATCCTTGAAAATTAGAAATATTTTGGGGATTATATGGACTAAATTTTGAATATTTCATGGCAAAAATCAAAATCATTCCTACTCTCATCTAATCTATTAAATTCACCAATAACATTTGAAGCAATAAAATAAATATTGAAACTTGCAATACCATTTTAATTTCATAAACAATATCATAAGTAATGATTATGGATTTTGCTCAAACAATGGCAACCCAACATTATCATAATCATTTCAGTCTATCTGTACAGTAAATTTTTTTTTTTTTTTTTTTTTTTTTTATTTTTTTTATTTACATTTATTTCAACATAACATATTTACAAAACAAATACATTCAAAAATACATGCAATTTCTACAAATACATAGAACATTTTAATATATAGAGCTTCACCAAAAAACAACAACATATTTATGATATAAATTTTTTAATAAATTGATCTAAATAATGATTTACTTTTTCGTTTTCATTTACACAGTTTGCGTAAAACTTTAAATTGGATGCAATTTTTGATTTGAAGTTGACATTTTCATATTTATTCCTTTCTTCCGACAATTTTACCCATGTTGAATATATTGTGTAACCTATAATAGTAAGTATTAAATTTCTAAAAGCTATAATATCACTTTCCATGCAATAAAAACCCAGAATAAAATGTTTCCAGAGTATTTTACATTTCAATATTTTTTCCACATCCTTCCATAGTGTTTCTACTAGCTTACATTCAAAAATAAGATGTTTTGCATTTTGAATTATATTACATTTTGAACAATTTTGGTTAATATTAGAGTTCCATTTACATATCTCACTTCCACATGCTAAAATGTTGTGAAGTAATTTAAAGTTGAATTCAGCATACTTTTTGTATTTCATGTTTGTTATTTTCAAGGAATATATTTTATCATAAAACGTTTTATCATGAGGAATGCTAAAGATATTACTCCAATGTTTTTCTAAAACATTTCGTTCTTGTTTACTTTTTATCAATATATCATATAGCATATTTGTTTTCATCTCTTCTAATTTAATCCATTTATCATTTCCTAAAAGGAAAGTTTTCCTATATTTTATGTTTGTGTATTTTACTTTTGTAGTATCATACTTATTCATCACATTTGTTATACAGGCTTTTATAAGAATGTATTCTATCATCCAATTTCTTTTGTTAACAAGTTTGTTTTTTATATAGTTTTCATTATAGAAGGTTCCATTTTCATCATAGAAATCTTTAACATATATAAATCCACTATTTATCCATTTTATGTTGTGTACCACTTCATTTTTAATTTTAAAAGATTCATTTAGCCAAAATATTTCTCCTATTAGATTTTGATCATTTCTAGTTTTACATTTATTAAAAGCTAAGAAAATTTCTCTATAAAACAATGGCATAGGCAGTTTTGTATCTTTGGTAAAATGTGTTTTTATAAAATCATCAATTTTAAAACCACACTGTTTGATATAATATTTTGGAATATCAATCCATGATGTGTCATCATCTTGTATTCTTTTCACCCAACTTGCTTTTAATGACATTATCTTTGTTTCAACGTCTATTAAGCCCAAACCACCATTTTTAATTTTTAATATTGTAGTTTTTCTTTTGATTCTATCTTTCTTCCAAATAAAATTATAAATGATTGAATTTACTTTTTTGACAATTCTTTCGGGGACATCAAGGGTAGAAAAGTTATATACTAGTTTTGAGATTCCTAATATATTGATAATCTGTACTTTACCAAATAAAGAAAGTTTTCTTTTTTTCCAAGATTCGAACAGTTTTTCAAATTCTAAGATTTTGGGGTTCCAATTTAGCTCTGCACATTTTTCTTTGTTATTGCCAATATAAATACCTAAGGTTTTAATTGGTTCATTTGTGAATTTAATATTTTCAAAGTATTCATCGGTTTGCTTTTTAAAATTACCTAGTGCTATGCCAATTGTTTTTTCTAGATTGAGACATAGACCACTTACTTCCGAAAATGTTTTTATTTCTGTTAATGCATGTGAGATTGATTCTTTGTTTTCTAAAATTAATGTCGTGTCATCTGCATGTTGAATCACCTTTGTTTCTTTTTTGCCATCAATACTAATACCTTTGATTAATTTATTATTTTCTATTTTATTATTCATGATTTCAACACATAAAATAAATAATAATGCAGAGATTGGGCATCCCTGGCGTATACCTCGTTCTATCTTTACTTCATTTGACAAAAAACCATTATTTTTTATTTTGAGAATTGGATTCGTATATGAAATTGTCACCCACTTAATAAACCTTTTGCCAAAATTCATTTTCTGAAGGACTTTGAACATAAAATTCCAATTAAGACTATCAAAGGCTTTTTTAAAATCTAGGCTAATTATCAATCCATTTCTATTCTCATCGTTTATAAGTTCTAAATAATCTATTAATAATCTGGCATTTGTTCCAATAAAGCGTTTTTCAAGGTATGCAGATTGATTTTTTCCAACAAGTTTTTTCACTAGGCTTTTTATTCTATTTGTTAATGTAAAAGCTATAATTTTGTAATCATAATTAGTAAGACTTATGGGACGGTAATTAGCAAGGAGTTGTCGATCTCCCTTTTTGAAAATTAAGTTCAAGATCGCAATTTTCATGGTTTCACATAACTCACCTTCTTGAAAAACTTCATTAATCATTTCCAAAAATATACTTTCCATATCTGACCAAAAATATTTGTAAAATTCAGGAGTTATCCCATCTAAACCAGGACTTTTATTCAATTTTAGATTTTTCACTGATGAGTTTACTTCAGATTTTGTTATATTTACTTCTAAACTATTTCTTTCACTTTCAGTTAAGGTGTAATTAAGTTCTACTTCTTTTAGATAGTTGTTCATCACTTCTTCATCTGAATTATTATTTCTATAAAGGTTTTCATAAAATTTACAGGCTTCTTTTAAAATTTCAATATCTTCTGTGACGACCTTGGATGGCGTTTTTATTTTAGTTATAACATTACTGGTTTGTCTTTGTTTTTCTAATTGTAAAAAATAAGATGTACTTTTTTCCCCCTTTTCAATCCATTTAGCCCTTGATCTAATAAACATTCCACTTGATTCATATTCATACAATTTGTCTAACTTATTTATCATTTCATTCCTTTTGATATTTAGTTCTGTTTTAACATTTTCTCGTTTACACTGATTTATGAAATTTTCTAAGCAATCGATTTGATCTTGTAAAATTATTTTGTTGTCCTTTCTTTGATTACTCTTTTTAATTGAATGACTTATTGCAATCTGTTTAATTCTTACCTTTATCAGCTCCCAACATACCCTTTTGGACTTGAATGTTTTACTTTCTTGATTTATTTCTTTGAGGTATTTTGATATATTGTTACAAAAATCTTGATCTTCTAATAATGAGTTGTTAAGTTTCCAGTATCCTTTCCCTCTCTTATTTCCTAATAATCTTATATCTGTTATAACTGCTTTATGATCTTTTTTTAATGCTTGGAGTATATAGCTTTTTTTAATTTCAAGTCTATTGTTTTTTGAGATAAAAATGTAATCAAGTCTACTTTTACTTTTTAGGTTTTTGGTACTATACGTAAAGCCTATATTTTTGTTTGATTTATTATAATTTTCCCATGTGTCAATTAAAGTGCAGTTTTCAATAAAATGTTTTAGACTCTGTCTACTTTTATCATTTTGATGATATTTTTCTGTTGTTGGAAATCTGTCAGAATCTCTTAAAGCACAGTTGAAGTCACCACTTATTATAATATTACCTTCTATATGCTTATTACTTTGAATCCAACTATTAAGGTTGTCTAAGAATAATTTTCTACAGTTGCTTTCATTTGGTGCATAGATTGATATTAAAGAAAATATCGTACCATTTATATCAACATTTGAGAGCAATCGTCTTCCATCATTACCGCTTACAATATTTAAAATTTTACACGAGAGTCTTTTGGATATTAATATGGAAACGCCTCTAGAGTGTTGGGAATCTGTTAATTCATTAATAAAGTCAAATTCATGAAAGCAATTTCTGATTTTGTTTTCATTTTTTAGAACACAAAATGTTTCTTGAAGAAAGATTATATCTGGTTTCTGATTTAATAGCCATATTTTTAATTTTTCTCTCTCTTTAAAATTGTTTAATCCTCTGACATTCAGAGTAAGGCATCTGTAAGATACTAACATAATGATTCGTTTAAAGTGATAAAACTTATATACCCTCTTTATAACCATGTTGCTTAATTACTCTTATATTCCATTTTATATTCAAATATTTAAAACATACATTGCATGAAATCATATTTATATATATATATACATCTATATCTAACCAACTGTAATTTATATTTCACTGCATGTTGTCCTATTTACATATGTACAAGTCTATTTTA